CTGCACTACAAATCAGCTCAACTTGACTCTGTTCCTCCAGGGTTGCTATCCAGACTATTACAAGGTCCCACATTTCACATTTCATTCATCCATATTATGTACAATAAACATGTATAAAAACACGGTTACAAAATAAAGTGTTACAGTGCTCCAGTGCAGAGTAGGTTTGTTCAATAAACAATTAGTTAAATTCATCCATCACGCTTGACTAAAAACACAATAAATATTAAATATACAGTGGGTTTGGAAACTATTCAGACCCCCTTAAATATTTTACTCTTTGTTATATTGGAGCCATTTGCTAAATTCATTTAAGTTCATTGTTTTTCTCATTAATGTACACACAGCACCCCATATTGACAGAGAAACACGAAATGTTGACATTTTTGCAGATTTATTATAAAACAAATACTGAAATATCACACGGCCATAAGTATTTAGACCCTTTGCTCAGTGTTTTGTAGAAGCACCCTTTTCAGCTGATACAGCCATGAGTCTTTTTGGGAATGATACCTCAATTTAAGGGGGTCTGAATACTTTTCGTACCCACTGTATATAAAAACACAAATTTTTTCCAAGACAAACGTACTACAACTGATAGATAAATAGATTACAATGTATTTGTAAGTATGAGAGCAGCTGAAACGAAGCCTAAACTTCTAGCTGGACTAAAGAAAGGTTTTGATTTTAAATGTCTTGTAGGCTTGTTGTGATGCTTGAATAATATGACATTAGTAGACTGTCCAACTCCAAATTGTGTCCATCTGGCTGTCAACCTGGCTCACTCCAGATTGATCTGTGTGTCACTCTGAATTCAGTTCTACACATTATTAATCTGAAACGGCTCTCGTTGAAAGTGATCGGAAAACGTGGAGTGTCATTTCGACTATTTGAATCTGATCTGAAACTTTTGTTACATCCACTTGATAGAAAACCACAGACATTTTCCTTGCCCACAAAGCACTTACCTTGTGTTTTTCACAAACAAAATAGTCCTCCTTTGGTTTCCGCACAAACCTCAATGCTCCTCTGTGATTGGTCTGCTCGCCAGATCAACCTTTCTTTCTTGTGAATTTGTGAACTCTCAAATATCTTGAGAATCCGTCTTGTTGTGCAAGGTTACCTGGCTGTACCTTGTTGCAAAAGAGTCTGAGGAATGCTTCAGCAGGCAGCTGTTCAGCATTTAGCAAAAACAGCACGAAGTAATCAATTGTTTTGATACTTACGTCATTAAAATAGCACTTAAACTTGAAGTACTACTCAACAAAGACATGAAGGCCATGCAACCTTCTCTTGTAATTGAAATTTGAGAGATGTCTTTTTAAAGGGATCAATTATGATTATTTAGGTTGGTTACTTAGTTCAAAAAATAAAACAAACAAAAAAATATATAAGTGCTTTATGAACATGACTAATTGCAGTAGCTCAGTTGGTGGCAATGGCAGTTTGCAGTTCAGAGTCCATTATTAGAATTGCTATAGTTGTTCTGCTCTTGTACATGACAGAAATTGCAGAATTATGTTTTAAATGTGTTTGTTGGACATTAGTTAACTGATTCTGTTGAACCTTTAAAGTCAATGGTGAAAATAATTGAGGTCAAAGATGCATTGCAAGAAGACATTAGTTTTACGGGGTTTTTTTGTCAGTAGCTTTGAGTGATGTATGACTCACTGTAATAATAATTATCTTGTTTTTTGTTATTGCGAGATAGGACTACTACTTTGGTGGCGGGCTCCATTTTGTTCGCTTCCCTGGTATGAAATGCACCGATAAATAAGACATCATCCTCACCAGTACTTCTTCATTTGTGTCCCTGCAGTCTTGGGTCCCTCCTAATTGGGATCTACTCCACAGTTAACTCCAGTCAGTGAACATGTGCAGGTCCACAGAGGCAATTGAAACCTGCTCTAAATCAGCCCCACGCTTGTCTAATGAGCGCTCTGATGGAGTTACTCAATCATGTCCAACACCGCCACAGAACTGAGAATTGTCAAATCTGTCACTTCATTTCGCGGTAATTGAACTCCAGATTCAGTTATTTTTAACCCGCCCCAGCCCTTTGCTCTTCTAATGATCATTAAGCACGCACTGACATCAAATAATATTGGAAGCAGTTGGTAATAGAAAGATTAAAGGGGAGTTATTATGTAAATGCGATGTTATAACAGCAGTCCCTCATCGTTAGTTTACTCAAAGTTGTATTTCTGTTGATTGATTTTGCTGGTTTCGAGGCCTGAGTGGTGCTGCTTTGCCTGAAATGCTCCACAGTACGGCATTAAGTATATCCGTCTTTCTTTTAGAGTTTCTATTGCTCAAAAGAAACCATGATCAACATATTGTGGCAGATGGAGCCACCTGCTTGTCTCAGTGGAGATAGGTATGTTTAATGAGATACTATGGAACTTTCCAGGCAAAGTAGTAACATCTCCATGGAGGCAAGCAACTATTAGACCCACCATTTGATTGTTGTGGGTTCGGTCCTGGTTTAGTTTTCATGTTAAGTCCTGGTTTTAATCATATTTTAGTCAAAATTTTGATGTGGTTTTATGCAAGTTTTATGCCAAAGTAAGTTGTGTAGCGTTAAAAATGTTGCAGTCGACCTCTGGTGTTGCACTAAAGAAATAACTACAAATCAACTCTTTTAGTTTAAAGTTGCACTGTGTAACTTGTCTGGAGGGGGTCAGCAACCGGTTTTGTCACCATGGAGATGTTAATACTTTGGTTTAAATTGTTCACAGTATGATGTTGCATTTATTCAACTACAGGTTTTATTTATTGCTCAAAAATATCTTAAAAGCATCCATTCTCACTGCGAGTGAGGGTTGCCTCTCCACAAGTCTAACCTATAATTTGTCTTGCAAGTCTCCATGGAGATTTATACGTTTATGGCCATACTGCAGAGCCCTGCATTGGGTCCTCCCAATGGGTATCCGCAAATAGTTGCTGAAACAGGCGGGTATGCAGGCGGGTAGTGACTAAACACGGGTGGGGCAAGTGAATGAAATGAACGACGAACGGAAGAAAAAATAGTTGATGCTCGTCCATGACATCCGTTGCCCTAGAAACAAGTTCCCCCCAATTCACACCAAAGTGCAACGGCGCATAAGCGCAGCAGCACGGCACATGAGCAGCAGACGCGCTGCTTTAGAACTCCATTTTAACTGGTCTGACAATGTACACCAACAGTGTCATACGCGCGTCCAACGAGGGTCTGACGCTGATGCGCTGCTCGAGATAGGTTGGAGTTCTAATTTTGCAGCGTCAAAGGCGCGTCTCCAAGGTTTTTTGCAGGGGAAGGACAGGAAATAAACACGCGGTGTCAAAATAAACTTCCGATGCCCTTTCAAAATAATTTAACCAAAGTCAAGACAGCGACGTAAACAACGCGCACGTGATTTACGATGTCAGACACCAATTCTACAAGGACTCAGGACTAAACCAGGACTAAACCAGGACTAAACCAGGACTAAACCAGGACCAGGACTAAACCAGGACTAAACCAGGACCAGGACTCACTGTCGAAATGTGCTCGGAGGTCCTTCCCTGTAGCCCCGAGTGTCCGCGGGCGAAAGGACCGGTGCAGAGCTTGGAGGTACGTGCAGCCATCGCGCTTTTCGGACACCTGCTCCACGGGGCTCAGGGTTCGCTATCTCTCTCTCTCTCCAAGATTAGACCTGGTTTACACCTGATTTACTCCGGGTTTAGTCATGGTTTAGACCTGGTTTAGACCTGGTTTAGACCTAGTTTAGACCTGGTTTAGACCTGAATTAGTCCTGACCTGCCCTTAAAATTCCAGAACGTTAAAACTCGCCCGTTTCAGCGACTATTTTCCCTTATTCATCGGTGCAGGACTCTGTATCAACATATAAACGTATCGGCCTTATTACCTGGACGGACATAAGATTTTAATCACACTCATAATGTATGTTAATTATACGTGATTTTACCTTATTAAGGGAAAAAAACAAAAAAACTGAGGTGTTTAATGTGTGTGCTAATAGATTTAAACCTCATTAAACGCAAATGCGTTGCAGTTGTACACTTAATTCACAATACATTTAATACACATTCTAACTTTAACATAAAATAAATGATAAAAAGCAAGTACAAAATGTGATGTCTGAAAACAGTGAGAAGATGTGCAGGCTGCGTAGCAGGAGCGTCTCTGACGCTCTGGTGTGAATTGAAACTTTGAAATTTACGCATATGCGCAGCTCCGCCTACGTTAAGCGCTGCTGCAGCTCCTGGTGTGAATTCGGGGTTCCATTTCCTGGTCTTTTCTCAGAACGATGGCAGACCAGGCTGATAGAGTGACTTTAGTGTATTTATTACATAAACACATCAGCGGAGGAGATTGGCTCGCCGACTGCGCTCCTGGTTGAGTCCTGGTTTAGACCTGGTTTAGACCTGGTCCAGTCCTGGTGTAGTCCTGGCGATTGGCTCGGCGGTTGCTAATGACATTGGTTTAGTCCTGGTTTAGACCTGGTTAAATCCTGGTTTAGATCTGCTTCAGTCCTGCTTTAGTCCTGGTTCAGTCCTGGTTTAGACCTTGTAAGTCCTGGTTTGACCTGGTGTAGTGCTAGTCCAGTCCTGGTGTAGTCTTGACGATCTGCTCGTTGGTTTGCGGCGTGTATATTTTTATAATCCGCTAATGACACAACATAGGTTGATTCCTGGTTTGGGCTGTCGGACTAATGGGCTGACCCTGATTTATCACAGGCACGGGCAGGTAATGGTTGGAATGTTAACAGGTCCGGGCAGCTGGGGAATTAACTTTGATATAATCACGGGGTAGACGGGAGGGTGTGGTGCTGTACCTGCAGGTGTGGGTCTCCAAAAATGGACCTGTGCAGGACTTTGCCCTACTGTGGAACATTCTAGGCACATGGAGATAAGTTGGTGATAGACCCTCCAGCAGACAAGTTACACAAGTTTAAGGAATCTACATCATTCAAAATGCTGTCAAAGTCTTTAATCTGTTTCTTTTCTCTTTCCTACAGTTCCAGCCCGGATCACAAACATCTCCAGGGACGTGACAGTGAACGAGGGCAGCAGCGTCAGCCTCATGTGTTTGGCCATTGGACGACCTGAAGCCAACATCATGTGGAAGCACCACTCGCCCAGAGGTACGACTCACTCACAAACCTTCGCTTTTTTCTGGCAATGGAGCGATTTGGTCATATCTCAGAACGAAAAATGCCTCTAAATGTTTGCTGGTTTCTATTTCGGCCTTTTCTTGTTGATCATAAATAAGTTTGGCAAAATCTGATCGTGGTGACGGTTAGTTGGGCACCTTCGGAATGTTTAGTGCTATTTTGTCAGTGTGGTGGTAGAGTAGTAAAAAATGTTATAGATGCTTAGAAATATTATTCAAGTAAAAGCAAGCTGGAATGCTCCAAGGAATGACTCAAGTAAGAGGGTAAAAGTACTGCTTCTCAAGAGTTAGGCCTAAAACTGCTATATGAAACTGATCTATAATATCTGCTTTAAATATTTAAGTTACTGTGATTAAAATAGAATAAAAAATATATATGTATACATTTTTTTTAAAAGGTGTACAGCATAACTTTTCTGGTCTGCCTCTCTTGCTATTGCTTTGCCTGAAATGTTACACAGTATGGCATTAATCATCTCTCTTGCATATATTTACGGGTCTCTTAATAGAAAAAAATAATAAATAATAATAAATAAGTACAATAAAAAAAAAAAAAAAAAAAAAACATAGAAAGATGCATTCCTACTGTTACTGGGGTGACCTCTACACAGATCTGACCTGTAACTTGGCCTGGTGGATGTCTCCATGGTGATATGTAAGCAATACAATCTCCATACAATCAGGTGGTGGACCCTCTACTAGTAAAGTTACACAATGCACCTTTAAAGACTTGCTTACGGTGAGAGCAGTAACCCACCAATGGAACTTTTACTCCAAGACAGTACAGTTACTTCAATGCAAATGCAAATCCAGTAGCAGTAGAAACAAGTTCAAACTGAGTACACAAACAAAATAAAATTAAAACCATAATATTTTGTCAGTTCTTTTAACACATGTCTGAGCCTGGAGTGAAGATTCAAGACTTTGTTAGCAAAGTTTAATGATGTAAGAACATTTAGACAGATGTGTCAGACGTGTAAACCTGTTTTATACTCAGCAGAGTTTTGTTCTGGTGTGATGTTCTGAAAAGTGTCAGCTCCACTCACGACTCCACAGTGTCAAATATTCGATTATTTAAGGCCAGTGGGACTCATTTGCACTGAGTTTTCTTAACAGTTGATTTTAGAGGTTATTTTTTGTAAATTGTTTTTCTGACTTCAAAACTAACCTTTGAATGCCACTGTGAAAGGGTGAAAGAAGTGCCTTGTTATGATGTATCCATTTTTACTTTTGGACACATCCATAGACTGTAGAAAGAAGTGGACTAAAGGAGTGTGACGTCACCCATATTGGAAAATACAAAATAGCAAAATAAAACATCAGGTTCACCGAGATGTTATTGCCTTGCCAGGAATGGTCAGAATGTTCTTAACTTTTGTAAATTTGTTTTTTAAGATTTATTGTAAAAAAAAATAAAAAAAAAATAAAAAAATACTAGGGTCACCTCTCCGCTGATCTGACCTGTAATGTCTTCTGCAAGGGCTCATAAATTTAGTCAGTCCAAGTTGTCTGGCCAGTCTGTCCCTTCTACATTCTGTTTGAATCCAGAAGGGAATGACTAGTCAGGCTAGCGCCACCAAGTGCCTCCGCTCAATTTCACTTCTCTCTAGCAACTAGGTCAGGAATCAGAATACACTAGTGCAAGAACCCCGGAAGTTGTAGACTGTGCACCGGCCAATCAGCGAAGAGCTGTGAAGCCATGGCATCAAACTCAAGCGCCTGTCTGGATCCCTTTTGTGGTACAGCACAACAGTAATTAAAATGGTCGAGATGGATGTAGATGAAGCCAGACATTCTAAAATAAAAAAGTACCTGCCTACCATCGAGCGAACGAATCCTAATGCTGCGAGGTCAGACGATTTCCACGAAGTGAAACCAGCTGATGAATCAGGCTGCTGGAAGACACCTTCTCTTGAAAATTCTCATAACATTCAGAATAAAATATATAACATCTTTTACCCGAAATAAGTAATAGTTTGGTGCTTTGATTGTTGAGTTTGTGTTGATTTTTTTTTCTGTAAGTAGCCATGTTTGTTTTTGACTCAAACAGACTATGCATGTCTCTAATTGGTTAATCCACCTGTCAGTCATGCCCTCTGAAATCAGGGAGACAGGATACAGCTCCAGATCCACTCATCTTTGTAAAATATTTCAAAGTGTGTGGTTCTGTCTGGTCAGGTATCAGTCCTAGCACCTTGAGAGAAAGCAAAAGAAGAAAAGCCAATTCTCTCTGTCCATCGCTGTTGAGTGAGCTATAACTTCAGTTTTACTTTCGTTAATGATTTGAAAAGTAATAAAAGTAATTCACATCCTTATCAATCACACGTTGTTCCCTTACACGATATTATCTTGCCACTCAGGGCTCTATCTAAATTGCGTGCAGGTAGTTTGGGGCTGCTGACTGCTTCACTTTGCCTCAGGATGCGTCTTCATTTGCACATCTGAGATCTTGCTCGCAGGTTTTGTAGATGGGGTTTGTTGGAGGTTTTCTGTATGATTTTCTCTCCTGCTGTCAGAGGTAATTTCACATAATGAATATGTGGAGCCGAGCCGCTACAGCTGTGTAAAGCCTGGCCGCCCACACAACATACAACACCTCCAGAGCTATGTGGATTAGAACTGCTCTAGTCTCTCTCCCTGGACGCTTATGAGGAGTGATGGAAGACTGCACACAGTAGACACAGGCTATTTCCTTTGAGTCACTTTGAATAGTAGCCTAGTTGAAACTTTGGATAGCTTCCATTGGATATTGGAGATGTGGGATAGAGTGGTAAGATGGTAGTTTAGCAAAGTGTGGTAGTGAGAGAATAGGAAATTATTTGTACCAGTGCTAGTAGTACTGTAGTAGTAGTAGTAGTAACTGGCCAGTAGCAGTAGTAGTAGTAGTCTAGCCTTTTTCCCTGGACGCTGATGAGGACTGATGGAAGACTCCAGACAGAAGACACAGGCTATTTCCTTAGAGTCACTTTGAATAGTCGCCCAGTTGAAACTCCATTGGATATTGGAGATTTGGGAGAGAGTGGTGAGCTGGTATTTTAGCCAAGTGTGGTATTGGGAGAATTTGAGGCTATCCGTACCATTGTATAACATATTCTCCTCTTGCTTATAACTTTTTTTTGCTTTTTTGACTTCAGTTCAGCATCCCACATGTTCACAGCACACATCATGCCAGTGGTAGTAGTAGTAGTAGTAGTAGTAGTCCAAGTACAACTTAAGCAACTACATAGCAAGTGCAACTTCAACAATCCATGTATCATTCGCTCATTTGTTTTTCCAAATAAAACCAGAAAAAAAAGAACAAAATATATATATTTTCTTCATTATTTGTCTCCAAAACCAAATGGGGAAAAAACGGATAACGGCCGTTTCCAGTTTCTGTGACTTAAACTGCGATGCCGGACTTTTACGCCGCATACAGACTGAAACAGGACTGAACCAGAACTAAAACAGGACTAAACCAGGACCAGGACTGAAGGTTTGGGATGGGCCTGGAGCTGCACCCATGTAGACTGTCGGGTGATCAGGACTGAGACCGGGACAGAGACCAGGACTGAGACTGGGACCGGTCCAGGCCTGAGACGGGGACTGGACCAGGACCAGGACTGAGACCAGGACTGAGACCAGAACCAGACCAGGATTGAGACCAGGACTGAGACCAGTTTAGTCCTGGTTTAGACCTAGTTTAGTCCTGGTTCAGTTCTGGTTTAGACCTGGTTTAGATCTGTTTTAGTCCTGTTTTAGTCCTTATTCAGTCCGTATGTGGGTTAGTCCAGCATCCCAATTTAAGTCACGGAAACATTAATTTTGATTTTGGAGACAAATAATGAAGAAAATAGTTACTGATTCTTATTTTTGGTTTTATTTTGAAAAATGAATGAACAAATTATTTTCAAGCATAACTATTACAAGTAGTTACAGTGCTATTTGTGGTAATTTTATCACTAAAACATTTCTTTTGGTCAAAAAAATTCTTTTGGTCAAATACAGTTCAATTTGTACAAGAAGAAATCATTCCTCCTTTCATACCCTTAATGTTGTTTTGCTCAATGACACTGTTAGTAACTTTTGGTAGTCACAGGGATTGAATCGAATTGAAAAAGTTACTGTGTTGTCTAGTACATATGGAAAGTACTGCGTTACGTTACATTAAAATTCATATCTGTGTAGAGTCGTCCCTATTGAGAGAAGGAATTGTTTTATTTTTATTTTAGTAGAAAAACTCAGTGAATAAATGCTAGATGGATATGTTTAATTTCATACCATGGAACATTCCAGACAAAGCAATAAGATCTCCATGGAGACAGGCAGGTGACAGACCCTCCACCAAAAACGTGACACAGGTTAACGGGTAAACTTCTGTACCAAATACGCTCCACAGACAGTATTCCAGACAGAACACATTTGAAATATTACACCAATGAAAACTTGTAACTTTTGTTATACTGGAGGTGTGTTTCAAAGTTCTCTAATTGTGCTGGGGCTCTGAGATCCACATGTGTCATCACAAAAACTAAAATAGAATTGGAAATTGTATATCCTGACATCGTAAGGCGCAATGCAGATTTCATTTGGGTGCTAATTAGTAATGATCATGGAGAGGATAAAACCCAAGATGAGAAAAAGTGTGGAGCTGTGCTTGGCTAAGTATAGAGCCTGTGGAGAAGCAGTATAGAGGGTGAACAGTTGGTTTGTGTGTAGAGCTTGTCCATTTGGTTTGTCCAGGCAAAGCAATAACATCACCATGGAGACAAACAAGTGATAGAACACAAAAGTTACGCAGTGCACCTTTAACGAGGATGACTGCTTTCCTATATCTTGTGCCAACTGTGATAAAATTTTGCCTATTTTTTTTAAAGGGAATATGGATCTGCAAATTCAAATGTGATCTTGAAGGTGCATTGTGTAACGTTTCTAGTGGAGGGCTGGTTTCTCTACAGAGATGTTATTGTCCAGAATATTTCACAGTATGGC